ACGCCCGGAACCTCGTCGCTTCCTTCCGATCGGCGCTCGGGGTTTACGACGACGAGGTCGAGCACCTGAGGAGCGAGAATGCGTCGTTGAAGAATGAGCTCGAGCGGCTGAATTCGGAGAAGAAACGCCTCGAGGACGAGCTGCAGAAGTGTAGGAGGAGCGGGGATGAGCGTGTGGTGGCTGAGAGAGCTAGAATCGTTGACGATGTGTATAGTGTCCTTATGCAGAAAGTGGGGAGAGGAGTAGGAGAAACGAGTTTGAAGGAGATATTCGCATGGAAGATCGATGAATTGGAGGGCGAAAAGAGGGAATTGGAGAGGCAGCTTCGGGTTTCGACGAAGAAATTCAAGGAATTAAACGGGAGGGTCTTGCAGCTGGAAAGAGACACTTCAATGCTGAAAAATGAGGAGCAATGTGTTTTGGGTAACAGAGAAGGGGAATCACGGGTCCTGCAAAAGCCTGATGGCTTGATCAATGTGGATGCGAGCGGCGATCGGGGCTCTGCTCAGCGTGGAAATGATTCTAAGGGTGGCGGAAGTGTCTCCTTCGCTCGAAATGCGCGGAAGAAGCTGGATTTTGGTACGGGTGCTTCCTTGTCCCCGTTAGCGGGTTCAAGTCATAACTCTCCAGTGAAAGAGGAAGGAGTCTTACAGGGGAAGTAAATTAGCTCAGATGTCGGTATCTCATGCAGTTAACATATTATTTAGTAGTGATGATTTGAGGGTATCTTCTGCAATATTATGAGGATAAACAGAACTTATATTGCTGGTGCTACGGTCTGAAATGCATGCTGGCAAGAAAGATGACGTAGAAAGAAACAAAAGGGTTGGATATATTGTATTCGAAGAAACTTTCTTGTTTCCTTTTATGTACTATTAAGCATGGCTATGGTCCAACTTAACTATCAGGGCCTTTGCTTAGTTTATGATTTGCAGGACTGGATTCTTGGTAGTTGCATTTCATATGTGGAGTTATAAATGATAATTAAGTTGCAAGTGTTCCGAGCTGAACACATAGTGTTTCTGGCATTTTTTTCTATTGGGTAACAGCAACTTCCTGCTTTTAGTAAGATTTATGAGATTTGTAGCAATTATATGTAGCACTTAGCTCCCAATTTCCTATCGTTTTGTCAATTCAAGCTTCAAATCTTGATTGTCTCAAACTTTTTCTTTTATTTTTTGCCTAACCAGGTGATGGAAGTCCCCCAATTGTTGAGATAATTGAGAGTGATGACGATTGCAGTGGGCTATCTGAAAAGCTATTAGGGGGTAAATGTCGTGGTAGAAGATATGATGAGAAAGGGAACAAAGAGCTCAAAAGGAAAAGAGGTTTGTGTCTTATCTAATTGAGAAATTATATGGTGCTTCGACAATCAGTATTTCAACTGATATAAGCAGAGCAAATCAAGATCTGCTTCATGCAGCTAACAATGTTTCTGTTGATCTTTGCTTATCAGGTTCGGTTTCTTCTGTTCTTGATGAATCTTTTGCGCAAACTCTGCGGGGCATTGTGGCTACCCTCAAACAATGTGAACAGAAAAATATCAAAGAAAAAGACTCTGATAACAGCTTGAGTAAGTCTACTGGGGTCAACCCCATAATGCATGAAAATGGGGCTGGTTCAGCATCCATTAAGTCAGATGATGGAAGTTCTTTGCACAAAGAACGTTGGAAGTATGAGGTCCAAATGCTTTTCGATTTCACCGAAGATGACGAGTTATGTATGAAGGCCGTTTGTGCACTTCATAGACGGCAAAAATCAAAGTCAATGGAGAGGAGTGCCTGCCAGGACTTTGATGGCCTCCTTTTACCAAGGTATTAGCATACACATGCTGCTGCTGTTGCTGCGTCATTTTAATTTCCATACCTGTTCATTCATGCTTAATGTGATTGTCTATTCATGTGCAAAGGGGAGTTCCGATTTACTCTAAACATGCAGAGTTTTAGTTACACCGTTCAAACTTTTTCTGTGCTTCCATGTCAACCAGAAGTTGGCAGATGCATGTGGCTGTTCGTAACATGTTGATGTCATTATGTAATTTGTCGCCCGTGCAACAGGACTTTATCATGTAGTTGTTTAGATCTGGAAGCCGTTCATCGCTCGTTGGATGAATGAATCTTTGATTAACAAATTTATTTAAAGGATTAAAACGTGAGAGCACCAATGGATGCTTGTGTTACATGGATGCTTCTTTTAAACTGGAACTGTTGAACGTTGGTTTGACCTGATGTTTGAAATATGGATATATGTGATTTCTCTTGGGAGATAATAGAGCACCTGCTTGAATATTTTTGTGAAGTGTTCACTGCCACAATTACAACTCTATGGATGGTTTGTACTTCCTGTGACCATGGAATTGTTCCTCAAATATGTTGTTCTTTTGTTGATTTTCGTCATAACAATACAAAATTTTGGTATTTAGAGGTATAGCTTTTGGGACTGTGTCACAATAGTCAAAATGAGTCTTTTGCCCTTTCTATCAAAGTGTTCTGCTGTAATGTATCGAAGTGTCAAAAGGTGCAAAGGGGCGTGCTCTTGGGCCTTTGTGAGGGTGTAAATATGTTAATGTGCATTTCTGGTTCTTGGTGGCATGGGAACTCCCACCTTGTCATTTGTTTACTCGAGTCTCTATAATAAGAAAATTTCTCTCTCATGTGTGGAATATAACTTGTTCAGTAGTTTAACAATTGCACTCTTGATTTCACCATTGCCGCAGGGAGAACTCTTTGGCTGAGTTTCTGACGGGTGGAGATCCAGAGGGTAAGCTGAAAAAATCTGTCATGGATTTGCGTGATCACTGCCCAGAAGGCCTGAGTGACTGCAGGAGTATAGCTACTAAACACTCCAAGCAGTTGTTTATAATGTACCGGAAGAAAGAGGATCCCTTTTTCCCATCCTCATAGGATGTGATATAACTCCTTGATTATTTGTGATTGTGATGCCAGGAAGCGCTGCAGTTGTTGAAGGGCTATTTTGTTAGCAGGTCTCGTGTTTGTAGCCTTTTGCCTTTACCTACTCGTGCCATTGCCTGCTATTTGCAGTTTCTGCCAGTTAGGTGCCTACATGTATTTCTTCTCGTCTTTTTTGTTAGTTTCTTGAACTTGGTGTGCAAAAATCAACCATCTTGGGATCTGGATTATAGATTATCAAGTGTAGAGCAGTTAGATCTTTTGCAATCTATCCCTCTTCATCTGTGCTGTTGTTTGTTGCAATCTATCCCTCTTCATCAACCATTTCTGTTCCGTTGAGTCAGATCAGTAATGTATTATCTTTTTTGTTCTTCTGCTAAACAAGCAAGACATTACTCGATCATCTTGTGTGATGATGGTTGTTCATTCAGTAGGTTTAATTGCAGAGACTAGTGTTGATCCATGTTGTGACTGTTAGCAATTTGTGCTGCTCTGAAAGTGATGATCACCAGTGATCTGAAGTATCATGCGAGTGACTTAAAGACACTATATGCACTGCATGTACAGGTAGGTGTTCTGATATATGTACTCACCAAGGCCGTAAAATTTTAAGGTTGACCCCGAACATGGACTTTCTTCCTCGAACGCAGAGAGTTCAATTGCTCGTCACTCTTGGTTTGTGCTCGTATTTCTAGTAAACTGAAGATAGATGTGTCTTTTAAGTTATGCTGCAATTGCCGGTTGTTTTATGTTTGTCAGAGGAGGATTGATCTTCCCATCCTGTTGTATCAAGTGTTATACGTCAATCGCTTAAGTTATGCTACCTGCTTTTTGCTCCTTCTACTATAACATGTGCATAGTTCCTCGACCATACAGTAACTCTTTGTACATGCAATCGAAATTCCTATCGAAGTTTTCAAAAATTGAACAGCGAAGGACATTGCTCCTAAAAGACTAATTAAGCCAAAGTGAAGTTATCAAAGTATTAAGGGGCAAGCATCACCGAGTAAAGAAGAAAGTCCCTGCTAACTTATCGGATCGCTAGCGTGGAGAGCAACAACGAGAGACAACATCGAGAGAGAGCAACGACGAGAGAGAACACAAACACTTCAATGTGAACATTAGCACCGAGAGCAACGTCAATTGAAGAGAGACAAGCACGAAGAGCTTCGACTTGCTGCAGAAACTGATAGTTGCTCTGGCACCAAATGTGAAATCAAGCAACTTATGGACGAGAGTTCGGCGAAAAGAGGAGAATAGGGAAGAACACTAGCTAGCTCAGTTTGAACTTTTTGAGTTCCATTTGGCCCTATTTTGTTGCCGAACGAGTTACCAACTCTGCACGAGTCTCATTAAACATGAGTTGCAAAATGGGTTTGGCTCAAGCTCAGATCCCGTGGAAATGAAACTCATCATTGTCACCATGTCCAAAGGTTGAAGCAACAGTCCTGTACCTGTACGCCTAACCCATGTTTCTGCGTGAGCCAAAGTATTTTATGTTCCTTCATTCATGAAAGTAAAACATCTTTGTTTTATGTACACAGATTTTAGCTCAACTTCCCTTCTCTGTCGATTACTCGTAGGCCTATGTCATTATTATAAATAAATAAAAAAGAAACCCAATTTACAAATTTGAATTTGTTAGATACATAAAAACTTAGCTTACAGTTTATTTGGTAACTTGGTAAGCAAATTTTGCGAATCATTTATAGCGTCTTTTTTGGGAACTATTGAATAGAAAAACTTTATGAGTCAATAATAAAAATATCGATTAACCATTATCTTGCAGGTAAAATGACACGTCGGGTCTTATAATTAAACAAAAAAAAAAAGATGACATTTTAGATAACAACTCGAAATTGCCGCATTTTTATGAGACAAAAAATATTGAGATTAAGATTGAGATTCGAGCTAAAATCGATATTTTTTTTAAGGAAATGAAGGCCATTAGGATAAATAGTAGATAAAAAAAAAGGTAACGTTCCATCATTTCTCCTTCCAGTTTCTAGCTTGGAGCCGGATTGGAAAAAAAAAAAAGACACGGAAAAGGAAAAAACAAAAAGTAAATAAACTCGGGGGAGGCTGAACTCCCAAAGCTAGTCCGAGCCGTATGCGACGCAGATCACCCGCAAGAACACGGCGAATCGCGGGGTCGAAGTCGACGATCTCTCTCCGGTCGTTCGAAGAAGGAGGAAGAAGAAGAAGGAGCGAAGCGATACGCGAGCGATTCCGTGCGGTCGAGCGCGATGCAGTGGTACTCCGTCGCCGCCCTCCTCACCGTCCTCACCAGTTCTCAGGTCGGGAGACCAGTTGGAAATCCCCCATTCATTCGTACTCGTGCTCGTGTTCTTCTTGTTTTTTCTTTCTTTACTTTGTGTGTGACGTCCGTTCGCTTTCTCGAGCAACGTCGAGAATCGCTGGGGATTGCGCCGACCGCTGATCGATCCGTTCGATGTGGTTGGGGGGTGTTGCTGGCTCGAATGGGGCGAATCGGATGTCGTCGTTGTTTGTTTCGTATTGGATCTCCCGTGCGGCGTTCGCTGCTTGCGGAAGTGACTTTTCAATCTGGCACTAGCTAAGACGTGCTCTCGTTTGGGGCGAAGAAGAGTTTGGGAGGAGTGTGTTTTGGCGTTTAGGAATTTCTTGGCGTTTAATTTAGCCGTCGTTTTGTGATGGTACCGAACTAGCTCATAATCGACCGATAGCGAATGGCGGCGGGCGTACAGTACCGTGGCTTCTTCAATTTGATTCTGGACTAGAACTGTGAGAGGAGGATGAATTTCAAAGAAGCCTGCTGACTGATCATGCCTTTGAAGGTGCTGCTAGTTGTGGAAAAGCATGCGAATCCATATTTTTAGGGTCTGGTTTCGGTTGCTTCGTGGTACTCTTCGAGGTCCCCGTGTGCTTGTGTCTTGCGGTTCATGCTTCGGTTTTAATTTGATGATGTCAGTGTTCTTTGGCACTGCTTTTATTGGCTATGATATCGTGAGGAATATAACGCGTTATTTTCTGCCTTTCTGGGAGTGACTAAGATGATTGCTTTGAATTAGATGTTGCTTATTAAGAGGCTATGAGATACTTCCACAGGATGAACATATTGGAATTGCTTAATATGTCCTTAATTGAGCTGTTGTTAGTTCGCTTTCTTTTCTAGGTTTTCAATTCTATTAACAAAATGTTGACCTCCTGACCAGTGATTTTTTCAATTGAAACTTTTTTTCTGATAGGGAATTTTGACGACACTATCTCAAAGTAATGGGGGTTATAAATATGATTATGCAACCGTTCCATTTCTAGCTGAAGCTTTCAAGGTAATTCTCTCTAAACAACTTTAATATGACAATACAAACACTATGTTTTTACACATATGTCGAGAATTTCACTTATGTCTTCCATATAACATTGAAGAAGACCTTCTTAAACATAAGCCTTTATCTTTCTTTTAGTTCTCGACTTAGTAAGCACATTACAATTCGTTTGTTTGTTCATGTACATCACAGCTAGCTGTATCTAGTTTGCTACTCTGGCGAGAAATTAGGACATCTCCTTCTATGAGGATGACCACAGACTGGAGAAGTGTGCGCTTATATCCTATTCCTTCGATCATATATCTGATCCACAATAATGTTCAGTTTGCCACGCTGACTTATGTGGACACATCCACGTATCAGATAATGGGTAACCTGAAGATTGTTACTACAGGGATATTATTCAGGTTCCTACTTATGTTGTCGATTCAGTCTTGACATTCCTTCATTTTTTTTTTCCATTTATTTTGCCTTGAATAAAGAAACGTCAAGCACATTAAGCAATTAGCTCATTATGGAAACTTGCATTAGTTCAGCATTTAAGTCCCTTTCACAGGTTTGATTTTCATTCTTAGGTTGTTCCTGAGAAGGAAGCTCACCAATTTGCAATGGATGGCGATTGTTCTATTAGCTGTTGGGACAACCACAAGCCAGGTTATTATAAGCTTGCTATTCGTGTTCCCATGTCATCTTGCTTGTCAATGCGCTATGATATGTATGTGAAGCTTTAGAGGTGTATCAGTTAGCACTTGAAGACGTGACAAGAACAATGCAGGCATATGGTTTAGAGTGAGTTTTTCTTAGTCATGGATTGGTCATATCGGGAGTTTATTTGAATACTCCATTAGATGGAGTGATCTTTCTTATGACATGCCAAATGGCTTTAGCAAACCATATTTGAAGTGCTGAAAACTTTCATGTTTGTTTAATGCAATTTTAATTTGATTTCACGAACAAGAGGAATGTGCTAAACTACTCTGGGGCAGAAGTGTTGAGTATGGTTCTACCCAGCAAGATCCCGGAATTGTGGCACTTAAGTACAACTATAGGTCGCAATAATTTTTTCTTCTTCTTCTTTCCATTCTCAAACGAGAAAGAAGTCTTATATATTCCCAGAAGAAGACAATACCCTTACAACTCGAGAAAGCTCATGGGTGCAATTATCGTTTTGTTAGAATTTCCATTTGCACAACTAGATGAAGAATACCCAGTAATAAATAACATCCTTTGCTGTCCCATGTCATGGATAAAAAACGGACACAGTACTGATGGGTCAAGTCAGAATCTCTGTATGAGCCCATCATTCAAAAAGAAACAAAGTAATCATGATGCAACTAAACAAGATAAAGTTGACAATAGCTGCAAAGGGTTATAATCTTGTTCTAAAGGTCCATAAGATATTTAATCATGTGAATGAAGGGCAAAAATTCCACTAAGAATTTGCATTTGTTTGTGAAGCATTTTAAGTGAACGTAAGAAGAACAATGCTTCAGCCTGCTGAAGAGCAATTCTTCTTGGCCCTCACCGGTTTACAAGCCTTCATCTTAATTAGCTCCTTTATTCATTTCGATTTTGTATATGTAACTTTTAGCAAATTGGAAGTAGTTTGATACCCAAAATCCTTGTGGCCAAAGATGTGGAATCAGTGAATCAAGAAATGATGTAGCTCTTCTCATGAGCTTATCCGTTGCGGTAGTAGAGTCGATGATAATATATTTCTGTTAGTATTGTAGGTTAAAGGTTGTGGAGAAGCCTCATGCGAATCTTTGTTCTCAGCACCAATCCAAGGGTACATGCTTGGAATTTTATCTGCATGTATGTCAGCATTAGCCGGCGTCTACACAGAGTTTCTGATGAAGAAGAACAATGATAGTTTGTATTGGCAGAATGTACAGTTATATACGTGGGTATCTCTTTTCTGTTTGGTTTTTCCTAGTTTGGTGTAACATCACTCATTCCAAAAGTTAGCATGCAGAAAGACCACTACTACATGCCTTACTCATACTTCATGATTTAGTGTTCTCCGCCTTCCAATGATGCTTTTCTTTGTCACGTTTGTAGTGCAAATATTACTTTTGAGAGTTCTCTCTTGATTCTTGAATAAGTCTTCTGCAAAGTGTTGTATTTTGAACATTTTACTCTGGGAGAACTGGTTTCCTACGTTAGCAGGAAGACATTATATGATTCTGTCAAAACTCCGTTTTCCTGTTTTCTAATATGTGGGCTTAAAACAAAGGCGAAGAGCTGACAACTGATTAATATGACAGTTTTGCGAGGAATGTATGAGTTCCACTCTATGCTGAAGTGGAAAGATTTATGCTTAAGATTAGCTTCCTGAAAAACAAAAGAAAAGTTCATTCAAATGCTACGATTTTGTGTTAAATACATGGTTGGGTTCGTATTTGCTAAAAGTTTTTCTTTGTGGCTGTAACTTCTGGTATTCTTATCTTCTGCAGATTCGGTGTGATCTTCAACATGGCACGACTTCTCTTGGATGATTTTCAAGGGGGCTTTGAAAAGGGCCCTTGGTGGCAACGGCTTTTTGATGGATATACCATTACAACTTGGATGGTGGTATTGAACCTGGGCTCGACTGGTTTGCTGGTTTCGTGGTTGATGAAGTATGCAGACAACATTGTGAAGGTAAGTCCTTGTTGCAGATCATGGTTTTCATATACACGGTACTGATACTTTTGCTAAAGTTCTGTTGCAAATGATCTGATTTATATCTTAATCCGAATTCTGGGATAAAATTGGTGGTTTTACTTGTTACAGTATATTTTTTTAGCATATGCTATGATCCTCCTGACCCCTAAAACGCAGTACCCCATCCTTGTGATCTACTTTTCATTATTCTGAATCAATCTATCTCGGGTGGACCATTTCTGAGTTTTGTCTGCAAATCTATTGAGTTATTATGGCATGTGGGCATTGGCATGAGAATGTAAGCATATTTGCTTAGTTCAATAAACTATTTTGGTTCGTTTCCTAGCAGCTTAAAGTCTTTAATAACGGTTGTCCTTATTTATAATTATTTCTGCCAGGTTTATTCTACGTCAATGGCAATGCTGCTGACAATGGTTCTTTCCATTTATCTTTTCAACTTTAAGCCTACACTGCAAGTAAGTCTCAAACCATTAGGAATCATTGGATTTCTTAATTCTTAGTATGTTCTTTTCAAATACTCGTTTCATCTGGACTACAATTGACCGTTTCACTTATGTGACTGCTGCAGCTTTTCTTGGGTATCATTATCTGTATGATGTCGCTGCACATGTACTTTGCTCCTCCAACTATGCTTGTTGATTATCCTCCAAATGCAAAAGCAGCTCCTGAAAATCTGAAAGAGATAACCATTGAGCGAAAGAGTGATTCATGATGCAATGCCAAGGCCATCACAGGTGATAAATGACATTTTATCAAGTAGTCATCTGAAAGGAACAGCTGATTTCAGTCCTTCCTCGCAACGTTCTATTTGGCATATAAAAGGGTAATGCTTTTGCAAAGCACACTTGAGGACATGTACATACTCCTGCGGTTGCTGCTGGAAGTAGAGTGAAATGCACTCACGAGAAAGCTACAACACGGTCCTCGTGTGAAAAACTAACTTTTGATCTGTCTGTCAATGTTATTGTGTAGAAGTTTCGGACCACAGTTGCATGCAGTTTCTGGCTTATAGCCAAAAGCAATAGCCTAGTACACAATCTGTGCCAATTTTTCTTAGCAGACGCTCAAAACTAAGATTCTTTATTCTTCTTATACATTGATTTTGCAATATACAGATGTTACGGTCGCGTCATTTCCAATTTGCTCATTTGAATGAATATTATATTACTCTTCTCCTTTTATTCTGGTGAAGAGTGGATATGTTTAGTGACAGCAACTGATTAACTGATGTCAAGTATGTCATAGTGCAAGTATATCTTGCGAGGCATACAAAAGGCTACCCTCCTGTCTCAGTATCGAACTCCAAAAATGCAAATCTTATGGCGGACAATTTGTGTATTGGTCTGTCACAATTTGATGGATTTGTTGATAGTGAGTCCGCAACATGCAGAGCATACAGAATTTCTGTATGACCCAGGATACATCTCTTATGTAACTGGCTCATTAATGTGCTCTGGACCATTGTACAGAGTAGTTGCATTCGTCAACCATAATTCAATTGACTGGATGCTTGTGCGTGTGTGAATGGACGTGTTCATTATCTATGGCCCAACACATGAACCAGGGAAGGTGATAGTGAGTACTCGCCCCTGTGGACATATCGTCGATTCAATGAGGCACAAATTATTTAAGCCACCACGGAACCAGTCTGAGTGGCCAGGAGACACCCAAATTTTTCATGGCTCACTAGCTTTTCGATATGTAAATTGAGCCAAAAAAAAAGAAAGAGGAAAACGGCATCCTAGAAATCAAACAGGACTATTTTACCTTACTTTAATCCTAGTTTTTCTTGCAGAATTTGCAAATACATAATGGACAGATGATACTGTATTCTACATCTACAATATTGTTTGGGTTGAGGATACTTAAGACATCATCATGGGCACAATCCGCTTGCTCAAGGAAATATCAGACTCGGAGCCACCATGACTCTAAGCTTTACAATTTCAAGCTCGCCAGATAAAATGTGATAATCATTTAATCAGTGCCTCGGTTAGTAAATGAAACAAGGGGGAAAAAGGATCGCCTTAGTCATCTACCGATCGATTGAAGTTCTTTTAGAGGTAACGCTGGTGTCCACAATCGACTTTGGTCAGTATTTGTTCCGTATATTGCAGGCATTACGTCTACATGTTTTTCTCTTCAGTGAATGCAGAAAAGAAAATGGCATTTGCGGTATATTTATATTGTCACGTGACTGAAAATTCGTCTTTGTCAATCACCACTGCATGCAGTAACTATGAGGCAATTGCAAAGCACATTTTCGAGTCCTTTGGATGGTTTTAATGTGGCATTTTCTGTTGTTCGAAGCATTTAAAGCAATGGTGTGCACGGAATATTACTTCAACGATCTACTCGCAGTAACCAATGCAGAGTGATACCAGTTCTTCTGGGTGCTTTATTTCCTTGGGGCACATTCACTTATCTCAGCAAAGCAGGGAATGCTGAGACTCGAGAGTGCTTGTCAGTTAGCGACATCCTGGTATGAAAGTTTCTGCTCTTTCTTTAAAAGAAAATCTCTGTCTTGTTTCTCTGGATAAAAATGGCAGTCCATTATAGGACTAAGTGACGGATCTGTAGCTGCTCTAGAGGGAGGACATTGTCTGAACACAGCGGTGACATTCACTCGTATCTGAATCTAATTGAATCTTGACACAGGAAAATATTGAACGGGTGGAGAGATATCCTTCAATAAGAAGTCAATTCACAGGTTTATCCAGAAATGAGGCATTAGAGAATTAACTCTCATCGATGTTTTTGACAGGATAATCAAATGGACAAAAGTGGTAGTGACTAGACCCATGTTTAGAAGCAGAGATCAATTTGGTTATGTCATAAAATCTCCCAGATGTATCCAGCGGAGATCACTTTGGTTATAATTATCTGCTGATGCATAGATAAGGCAAGTGGACTTGATATTGCAATTAATAGGTAGGTAGTGATGTGTGAATTTCTTGTGGTGATACGGTGTCCATGGAAGCCTGATGTGACTTTCGGAAAAGACAGTCGGCAAACGTAAATCCAATTGCTCGATTTGGACAAGTACCAGAACCATTTATATCGTGTGAGCCGAAGTATTTGACTCCAGAAGAATTCAGATCATGCCATCAGAGGAAGCAATTTAATGGGATTGGGCATTGGAATGAAAGGGGGAAGATATTTTAGTTTGTTTCACTTGGTTCGCGTTAATTTCCTCCATAATGTCGCTGCCCTGCATCGCGTATATGTATCCAAGTCATGTTCATTAACTACTAGGTCTAGAACATCCAATTTGATATGTATTTCTAAAGAAAGCCCAGCTTTATTTTCACCTGTGCCTGTATAGCCTCTACTCTTGAGTTCAAAAGTTTAGGCTACTCTAGCAGATAAATTCGGATCTAACTGGGAACATCACATCCTGACTCAGAAAGATCGAGATAATCGGTGAACAGTAGTGACTACGTTGTCGCAACCGACCTCCGGTTTTATTTTTCAAAAAATGAGGGTCTCGCTTGGTAATAGATGTCAACATACGTGTATCTCAAGATCATCCTAGGTTCCTGACCATTCGATCCACATATGCATTTACTTGCATACTCCGAAAGGTACCTTTCCCTACAAGTACAGTGCACTGCATGATTGCTGTGCTGCATACCACAATTCTAACGAAACCCCACCACCATTCTCTAAATGTTCGCTTTCATAACATTAATGTTACGCTATCCAGTACACGCTTCAATGTTCTCGCTCCTTCTCTCTCTAATCTCCTTCCTTGTAGGGTGCCTATAAAAGGGCGAATTGGAGACCCCGTATGCAACAAGAAATAGTGCGAAGCAAGAAGATATCGATGGCAGGGACTAGTCTAGCAAATGCTGCCGTATCTACGCTCGGAGGGGGGCCTTATGGGCAACATACGAGTAAGAGTACTAATAACCAGTGCTCATTCCAAATGCCGCTGCATTACCCGAGGTACAAGAAGAAAGACTACGAGAATATGCCCGAGTGGAAGCTGGATCGCCTCCTGAATGAGTATGGTTTGCCTGTGTCCGGTGATGTCGTCCAGAAGAGGAAGTTCGCCATGGGGGCTTTCCTTTGGCCTTCGCAGGAAGAGTAAAACATGTTGTCTCATGGTATGATGTTGCGACCGGGTGTTAGCAAGAGGATTGCTAAATGCTAATAATCATGTGTCAGTTTAGTTTGGTTTGGTTATCATATTCTGCCCCCTAATGTATGAATGTATGTTTCTGTCAGTGGTGTGATTTATATTTGAACATGTAGCACCAGTTTCTGTACTTTATTCACTCCAAATCGTCTGTTATGAATTACTGTGATATAACTTGAAACAAAACTTTCATGCAGTATCATATTATCTCTTGATTATGCACATAAAATCTGACTTTTTAGTATATTAGGTATACTGATTCCCTCATAAAGAATGAATAACATCAATTAATTTCTGTGTCATAACGAAAATTTAAGCTGAGTTCCTAAACAAATGGTTCTAGTACTCATAGTATTGACAGTTTCTTGTTTTGCTTCTTGAACCGAAGAGGGACCTGTCCTTCACTATGTACTGGGGCAGTGAGTATGTAGCTTCGGACCACTTTAAATTTATATCCAGTTTTAAGACTGGAGTTGCGAACCTCCCAAGAACAGATGTCGCAACCGGATGCAAGAAACATTGCAGTACCCTTTTAACTGCATGTATCAAACCGAAATCCATTGATTGAGAAATCCCTCGACATACTTATGCTAAGGTTGCGAATAATAACCATTATGTTTCTATTTTTCTGTTGTCCAGAAATAAGTTTGGAACAGAAATCTGTTTGGTAACGCAATTTCATTTTTCAATTTCTGAAATAAATTTTGATTTCAAAAATATCTTTGGAACAGACTTAAAAATTTTCTGCTTTATCTATTTCTAGAACAAAAATAAGAAATTCTTTTTATCGCTCGCCCTCGGTACTAGTCGGTCGCTCACCTACCGCCCATCGCCGCCCACTTGCTGGCCACCACCTTTCGCCGTTCGCCGTCTCCCGCTACCGGCCGTCCTCTTCCCACCGCCAGCTGCCTCCCTCCGCTGGCCGCCTCCCGCCGCCGGTCGCCTTCCGCTGCCGCCTGCTGTGGGCTGCTGCCCGCCTTTCGCCAGCCACTGTCTCCCTCCGCCGGCCGCCCGCCTCCCTCTGCTGCCCCCCTCCCGCCGCTGATTGTCGCTCGCCTCATGCCGCTGCTCGACGCTGGCCACCCCCAGCCGCCGTCCTCCGCACTGGCCGCGTCACCGTCCGCCGCCACCTCCCCCCACCGCCCGCCGTTCGCTGCCACCGTCCGCCCTCCTCCTGCCGCCGCCCCCCTCTCGCTGCCGGCCATCACCCGCCTCCCATCGCTGCCCGACGCCGGCCGCCTTTAGCCGCCATCCTCCACACTGGCCGCGTCGCTGTTCGCCGCTTGCCGTTCGCTGCCACCATCCGCCGCCCGCCGTTCACCCGAGCGGGAGAAATTTTATGCTATTATCAAACAAATTTTTGTTTTAAGAATAAAAATTTTATGTCGTTATCAAACGTATTTTTTTGCTCAGAAACTTGTCCAAGAACAGAAATAGAAAAATCTAGAAATTGATTTCTAAAATAGAATAGTTGTCATTTGCGGCCTAAGCAACCGTCGATACAAGAATCTGCGAAAGTAGCGGCTCTACATGACTACGACGAAGTCGTGCGGCGGAGGAATCATGAGAAGGTGTCTGTTTCTGCAGAGAATGATAGGTGTATGGTAGGGAGGTCATTCATTTAATACGACAGTTACATTGACCTCTTATCCAGGGCATGAACCTTATGAATGCGGGACACAGTTTTCCACTGCACGTCATATTCATGTTGAATTGCAGTTTGAGATGCAGTCTACCTCTTCCGCACAATCACATAATCTCTAACATTTCTTTGACAGCCTTTACCATCACGACATTTCGGAACTAGAAAACTCGGGATCTTAGCCGTGGTCCGTGAAGTCCCTTGTCTACTGCAAGCATGCTGTGATTGATAAGCAGCTATTTTTGCCCTACAAACTTATGACTGCTTCAAGCAAAAAATTTACTAGTCTATTTCCTAAAAGTCGAGCTTTACCATGCGCCGTCAAGTTACATGGTTTCACACTTATCTCCCATCTAACTGTAACTGAGAGAGTTTGTAATCTTGCTACGTTGTGATCTATAAATCAAATCAAATCTCCTGTTGAATTCCCTTTTCCTCAAGTCATCGCATGGGCAAGTTGGTGATGTTTGTACTACACAGGATGGTGCATGCATTATTGCACGCTTGACAGAGTAGAGGAGTTCACTGCAAGAATGGGCCTACACCGAAATGATTCGGGTTGATCTAGGCAGATTGGGCCTGGCCCGAATCCGTTTGCTAATTTCTCTCCTACATGGGGATTTTTGAAATCTCATGATCCATAAAGTATGACTATCAAATAATTAACGTGATAATGCCTAAGGATCGTCAAGTTTCACTCTAAGTGAAGGCAGTTCCTACGGTCTTGACTATGACGTACCACGAGTTTCGATTGAATGGAGTTATGAGGCTTCTAAATACAATCTGAAAAGCTAATTTAGAGTCTCATGTCGAAATCTCAACTATCAATGTTATGGACACTGAAATAAGACTAAACTCATGACCTTATTGTCTTGAGTTGGAACAAGCTGATGAGATCCCCTTGTGACGTCTCCATGCCCCTCGCGTGGGGCGACATGGAGCGAAAAAACGAAAAAGGGGACGTGATTTCTCTCACTTTTGACATGGTGGGCTCTTGCAGGAGAATTGCCGCACCGACGACAAAACGAGTTTGTATGGTACATATGTTCTCTTCGTTGTTCATAACCAGGGCGATGAACCGGCACTAACGTTTTCAACAGGACCGATAGACATTAGATTCATGGGAATGAAGTGTCTCGGCACCAGCATCATTCAATGGGGTGCTTCATTGAATATCAATTTCTAGGATGCAACCCAACCCATCACTTTCTGGCTTCATCTCTGGTTCCTTCACATCTCATCCCATAATCTGCATGAAAGATAACACATATATTGATTCTATATTACTACTCGTCATCCTTTTTTTTATGTTATAATTATCTATATTATCACAAGTGGATCATATATATATACACACACACACACACACACACACACACACACACATATGACTTAAAAATAAATCAGGGAGGAACAAAGAAGCTATCTGACAATTGCGCATGCAGTGTCGAGCATGGGCACGCATGTGGAGGGTACCTGAAAAGCTTAAAGTAAAAGAATAAAGTCCTTTCAACCAAAAAAATAAAAATAAAGCCCTCACGAGAAATTGAAACAAAAAGTAAAAGCATTAAAGTTGGGATAAATTGGGTGGAGATAAAGTCCAAATTAATTTTGTCACAAAAAATTTTACATCGATACGCTCGTGTCATATTTATCCCAAAAAAATCCCTGACATGAATATATCAATTTGAGGTAAATGTTGCAATGGTGTACTAATTTAAAAAATTTTGTGATACAAAAAATTATTTATAATAAATATAATCCGGATATATCAATTTGAGGTTCTTGATGGTATTAGTCATTTTCCTTCCCGGTTGTTGCTGGAGATGTCCATTCTTGTCCGGACACGTTTACCAAACAAATGAGCCCGACAGAACAAAAAGATCAATTTGGGCCAAAAGACAACGGATTCAAACTTTTTTTCAGAATGTTTTCTATTGTGTGATTTCGGTTTATAATTTAGAGGTCCAATGCGATCCCAATAGCTTGTGTCCAATGCAAATATGAACTGTCAGTGACATTGTACGACCAAAGCACCACTGAGAAGAGGAGCAAAAAAGTACTCACACGACGCCACGGGATAGCTAATGATGCAATTAACTGATCGTCGTTTGTTGGTTCGAGTGCTATAAATCTTATTTGATCTGTTGTCATGTACATATGCATCTCGTTTTTGATTGATCAGTCATATCATATATCTCTATGAAGGAAGGAGCGAAAAATTTAAACTAACTCGATGCTTGATTTGAAAAGACACTTACGAAGGAACGAAAAAGTAAAAAATTACAAAAAAAGAGGTATGTGCTAATTTTACCCCCTTATTTAGCTCCTGATACCCCGCATTCACATTAAATTGACTATATTATCCCTTGCGGGTCCCATTCTTCGGTACTTCAACGCGAAATAGCACCTCGACATCATCTTCTGTCACTGTTAAAAAAGTTGATACATGGTTGAGATGTATTTACAATTGATCTAACACCACATTTACATGTTACAGGCACGAAACTCAGCCAGATGCGACTAAGTCACTAGGTGAGGCTTAAATTAGCACGATCAACATTAGATAGATCAAAACCGTTATTCATTCTTGCATGGGGATCAATGTAGGGTTTCTTCTAATGCAAAGAGCAATGTGATATGTAAAAACAATTGGTTTTCCAGTAATGGCTCAAAATATGTAAAGATGGTTAATTTTAGCAATGTTAAATGGCAAGATTTTATTTTCTATCCGAATACTTCTTCTATTTTTGACTTAATCGTTACAATCAAAACTAGTTATGGTTGTCAGCCGTGCTTCATTTGAATTAAAAGCTAATGCATTGATTTTCACCGCTGATTGGAGTTATCGAACAAGCCCTCGAGAGGCTTTATATTTGTTTTAAGACTAATCTATTTTCTTGTCTTTTCAAGGTTATTTCGATCTATTATCAAGACACATTAGTGAATTTAAAACTTAGAACACCGACAAGTTAAAAGTTGTGACACTAACAAGAGAGTTTGAGGATTCGTTTCTCGATTTTGTTTTAGTATTTTGCCCAAGCATTGAACTTGGGAATTTCTTTGCTATTCGAACACCATATGAAATGCTAATTGCTTTTTGAGGTTCAAATTTCTCGCATAACGGTTGTAACGTCTGTATGGATCGAGGTGGTGATGTGGGGACAAGCTAAAAAGTTATTTTTCAATTAATTGAGGTTAATTAAATCACTAAAATCCAAAAACGACGAACATATTCTTTTTATTTAATTAGATTAGATGAAGTAGATTTATATTTACAGGTGCGTTTGCTTCAACTTTTCAAAAAAGTCGTTTGGGAAAAATTGAGGTTTTGCCTTTGGCTTTCAGATTTTTTTTGGAAGGTAACTTCCATCAATTATCAATAGGCATGCAGCCCTACTAGTAAAAGAATTTGGGGGTGAGGATGCTAGTATTACAGGTGCGGGGTTCGACTCCCGCCAACTGCGAGAGGTAGACCAAAAGTTACAAAGAGCGAGGAGAGTTAAAAATACGACAGACCAAAAAAAAAAAAAACTTTCCATCAATTAATGAAAATTTCGTCAGTTGCCTTTTTTGCCCTCAAAAACTTATTAAAAACCCAATTTTACCCTTTTAGAAAAGAGAACCCTAGCGCTACTCTCCCTTCTCTCGGTTTCGCTCAGTTCCCTCCTTCCCTCGCTCGCTCGCCCTCTTCACGCTTGAGGTCACAGCAGTCGCTCAGTCCCTCGTTTGCGTCTCCTCAGAATCGGTCGCTCGACTCTCTCTTACTTGCCACTTTCTTTGCTCGGAGAAGGAGGTACCCCTTTTCACTTGATGATTTTTGGAACAAGTTTTCTTGGAGATTTCGATCGTGGGTGATAGCGATGATGATTGTTATGGATTGAAATTTTTTTTTTTCGGAGTTTTTCTCTGTTCATAATTTTTTTGCCCAAATTTTTTGGCTTCAAGTTGCTGGTTTTGGACGTATTTATTTGTGGTTCTGATATTAAACAGTATGCGAAGGTTGAGGGATGATGGATTGACATGATTAGGATGAGAAAATTAGGTGTTTATGCGACTTAACATGGCCTGTCGGACCATGTTAGTTCTCCTTTTGTCTGAAACAAGAACGCCGAAGCAGTTTGCACTACCTCTGGGGTCAATTCTCGTTCGTGCCTGGGGCTCATGAGGTTGTTTTTCCATTATTGGACATAGGGCGTATTTGAGAAAGAAAATTACTAGTAAATGCAATATGCTTTTGGTGATTTTGGGTGGATTATGTTGCCATATATCACAATTTCTTGTTTCTCTTTGAGATTTCAGAGATTGAAAATTTTTGTGTTCAAGGTGGAAACGAGGTTCTGTGAATTTGTAGTACTGTATGCCTTCCAAGGCCTATTTCGGAGCCTTATTGAAGAAAGCTTATTTGTGTTTTAATAATGCAAGTTCTGACTAGTATATCGGATAATTCTGACTGTAGAGGAATGACTTTGATCCTTTTGAGTACTGGTTTCAATGGTCGCCGCTATTTCTGTTCTCGACAACTTTCTGGACTGAGTGCCAAGCCCCCACTGACATTCACGAGGGTAACCCTCTTTTTATCCAATCTTCTTGCTTCGACCAAAATGAAAAGTAATTGTAGACTTTGTCATGCAAATATTCCACTTACCTATGGTATATGTAATATACTTTTATTTCTTGATTTGAAAAATGGCAACGCATAATAAGAAAGAAGTTTTTGAAAAGGCATATTAAGATAACATAGTTTAGTTTGAGTGAAGTTAAAACAAGGATATCCTTCTTGTTTTCCTTTTGCCATTCAATTTGTTTGCAATATGCATCAATTTGTTTATCTATTTTCGAATGGAACGCACGACACATAGGGTAGGTTGTCTTGCTTTCTCCCTTTACTAAGTGAGCCTGGGTTCCTTCTCATGTAATTTCTATTCAGTGCGAGTGCCGCGTCCGACAATCAAATTTGATTCTGGGCATCAGCTTTGGAAGATAAGGCATTTCGAGCTCTCCACATATTCCATAAAACTCCGGCTACCTGCTCTCTTGACTGTAAGTTAGTCTTCAATTCGACCTGCTTTATTGATTACATGTATTTCAACCTTTATTGGCATCTAAACTAGTATTATTGAATTGTTTGTGGTGATCAATTTTGAACTTTCTTAAGGTCTTCACTCCTTTCTTTAGCTTCTTGCTGAGAGAGAGAGCTCCGTCACCGGGAACCATGGGGTTCTTCGACCTGAACATCCCCTATGACGCCTCTTCTTCACTGTCCGACAAGGCCAACCGCGTCAGAATCGCAACCAAGGTGATGGAGCTCGGCTACGACGGCATTGCCTACAACCGCTCGATGAGGGGCGTCATGTCCGATCGCGACCACTGCTCCATCCCTCTCCTCTCCCTCTCCACGCTCCTCAAGGCCGCCCCCTCGCTCTCCTCGTCTGTCTCCCTCCACCGCGGCCTTCTCGGCCTCCCCCTTGCCTCCACCTTCCGCCAGTACACGCGCCTCACCGTCTTCGCCGAGACCGTCTCCCAGGCTCAGGTCCTGAACTCCGCTAATCCTGTTCTTAAGAGCTACAACTTGGTCGCCGTCAGGCCTTTGAACCAAGCCACCTTCGATCACGCTTGTGAGAAATCCGAGGTAATGTGAGAGCATGACACAGTTAGGATTCTTACTTTCTTGGATGTCGGAAGTTATTACGGAAATAGAGTGAATTAATCTTCAGAAGCATGCTTGACTGTTTAAAAACGGAGAAAAGTAATGGAGATTGGAGTTATTCCTACTACTTCTCACGTTAATTCGGGGAGTGGTCGATTAGTATCGATCCTTTGTTTTAATGCAATTGTTTTGTAATAGTCTTTTCCTGTAATGTAGGTAGATATAATTGCCATTGATTTCTCAGAGAAGCTGCCCTTTCGCTTGAAGCTCCCCATGGTTAAAACTGCTGTTGAGGTTCGTCCCCTACTTTTTATTCCTTGTTTTACATGTTTTAATTTAATGGTAGGGATGAATGATGAACTGTGGAGATTGATTGATAGGTTTTGTATGACAGCGAGGACTTTATTTTGAGATCTCGTACTCGAGTCTCATCTCAGACCCTCAGATGAGGAGACAAGTGATATCTACTGCTAAGGTAAGGTCACACTCTGTTCTTCAAGAAGCTGAACGATGTGTTTATTTGTTTTGTTCTTATTCTTTTTTGCTCAATCACGGTGGAGATATATTAATCTATAGTTTTCCATTCTTTAGTATGCTAGATACTTGCTCTTTCTATAAGTCCTATAATAGTTTTGCAATAGCGATTCGAGATTTTAAAATGATAAAGAGAGAATCGCGCAGACTTATGTATCCTAACAGGTTGCAGTATTTCGCAGGAGTGCTGCCTAGTTAGAGAGTTTGGAATCATCTTGTAGTTTTGCACATATTGTATTTCTAAAGGACTAATAAGTGCAGCCACTTTGGATCAGTTGTGCCCATGTCTTATCAAAATTTACGGAGAGTTGATTAGTATAATTAGGATGATTAGGTTTAGTGGATTTTTGAGCAAGCTTTTTTGTTCTATAAGATGTTCCTTTTTAAAGTATGTGTTAGCTTAGAGTTTGACATTTCTTCTATGTCAAGCTGAAAGTTGCAACATCACAACTACAGCTCAATTAGTCATCTTTCAACTCGATTAATTTATCTTTCTTATTTGCTCATTGAGAAAACAATACTCATATTTTAAAGCTTGGTTCAAATAGTGCTTGTATCTGCACTTTTCCATACTAAAATCATTTGAAAAAGAGTATCAGTATAGCCTTATAAAGCTTTTTGAACATTGTATGGACATCGAGTGGAAAAGGTATTTCCTTAAGAATTGCTTAAGCAGGGAATGCATGAGCACTCTCGGCCAACTTTTGGGCACTGAGTTGGTGCTCCAAGTGTCGAATATTCGTGCATTCTATTCATGATTATTGCTGGACGGTAGCCATGAGTCAATGCCATTGTCCTGATTTTGTTAGTGGCACATAAATGATGTTCAGAGCAATTTGAATTTCTTTAAATGATTGTTTTTCCTTCTTTTTCGGTCTCAAATGTATGGCAAAAGCACTCTGATGTACTCAGTACTAGTTCCATTTATTGTTTAGCTAATGGTGGATTGGACGCGTGGAAAAAATCTTATTATCACAAGTGCTGCATCTTCTGTCAATGATATTAGAGGGCCTTATGATGTTGCAAATGTGTCTTCCTTGCTTGGTATTTCCATGGAACAAGGGAAAGCTTCTATCTCCAAGAATTGTAGGTACGGTAACTCTATTTTATGAGGTTGTTAGGATTTTTGTTATGTAATTGCATTTCTTGTTGACCCATTGTTATTTTTCGCTTAGCTTGTTGACCTACATGATGCAGGGCTCTTATTGCAAATGCTTTAAAGAAGAAGAAATTCTTCAAGGAGACCATCAGAGTTGAGGCCATGTCATCATCCGAAAGATTAGGCTCTGAGGAACTCTGGTCTGGCGACCTGCTTAAGTGGGATCCTCTCTCTAGTGGTGATGGTGATATGCTTTTAGATGACTTAGAAAAGTCCTTCTCTATATCAGATAACGTGTTAGGAACGGTGAAGGCAATTGATTTCAATCCAATTATCGACAGCATGTCATCAAAAGGTTTTCAAGTTAAGGATTTGACATATGGAAATAAGGCGGCTCAACTTTCATCAGTTGAGAGTAAAATTTTGCATTGCACTTCTCAGGTAGTGGGCTCATTTGCCAGGGATAATGAAAATTTAGATCCGGTGAAGCTTGACGGAGTGAATATACTTTCTAAACAGAATCAGAGTCCATTGTTTGGTACATCCACACTGCATCAAATGCCCAGCAATGAAGTTTCTGAGAAACCAGTTCTGCTGAGTGAAGCTGTTGATATTACAGAAGACAGAGAGGGGATTGGTTCGACAAAAGGCGAAAGTTTAGATGCAAATGTATTAAAAGGGTTTGTTAACTCAAACCAATTTGATTTAGTTAGGTTGGAATCATCACAACCTGCCTCACCCGATCAATCTGATTTGGCCTTATGGCATGAAAATGCTGTATCTGAGGTGCCAGTGAGGGATGCTGGTTTACAGGCTCCTTGTTGTGATGACAGTAAGTTTGCTGTTTCCACTCCATCTATATTGGATACCATTGTGGCTGCCTCTCTGAATAGAGGGGTGCCTAAGGACTCAGATAGCTGTGCAGTGCGGAATGGTGATCCTTTGGAAAAAGACCAGTGTCGGGATTTAAAAAGTGCTGAGGCATATTTTGGTATACATTGTGCTACGGATGAAAAAACCATGGAGAAACTGGATTCAAATCCTCAAGAAGAGTTATTTTTGGTCTCTGATAATTTGCCTTATTGTGAAGATGTTTTGGAGTCTAGACGAGTAAGGGAACATAGAGATGATGCGACCTTATGTGTAGAAGTACATTCTTCAAAATGTGATGATTCTATGGAATTAAATGATGAACCAGAGAATGATGAGTCATGGGAGGGGGTTGCTGTGGAATCTCAGACACTTGTACAGGGGGATGCAGTAATTTCTCAGCCTAATATGAATTTAATGTCATCAGGTACTAGCTATGCACCACCCTTTACTACCTTGTCATATTTAGATTACTTACAGTGAGATGGCCGCACCATAGAGCTTTTGCTAGAAAAATTTTACACTAGTTTATTAAGCATTTTGAGAGAGACAATCCTCCCTATCTACTTCATGTGAAGGATGACTTCACAGATTATTTTTTGGAAGAACATACACCTTTAATTTTATCAGGTGCATAAATTAATCAATCGCTGACAAGAATTTGGACTAGCGAGTGCTCCTCATCTTCCATACTCGGATTTCCAATTATTAGCTCTCCTTTAGAGCCCTGCCCTTGACCATTTTTCTCACTAGATCCTATAAGTTCTGCCAAAGGCATGGTTAGTTTTCTCACTCCATTCTTCAACAAATGCAGATGAGGGCAGAACAAGGCTAAAGCCACGCCGTCGATCTGTTGCTTTTCCACTCAAGCGTCTGTTGAGTCCTATTCTTTTCAAGAAGAAAGCTCGAAAACACCGGAGAAAGTTCTAAAACGTTAGCAGACTCGCACGACAAAGACAAGCTTCGTTCTGGATGGCTATTGGCAGAAAGAGATGGCTTATGTTAGAGATGGCATATTTATGTCTAGAACGTTGAGCAGAGGCTTTGCAGCTTTGCCTATTTTTTGCTGCGGTCTTTGCGTATTGGTTTTGGCAATTTTATGTATTGTTAACATAATTTTTTGGCAATTGCACTCTATTTTTGACAGAAATAGAATATGCCAACAACCTCAATGTAAACAAGTAAGCTGTGCTTCCTACTTGAGCTTCATAGATTATCTAATCAATAATTGTCACTTTGCTGCTACAAACATTCTTCTGATTTGTCCAACACTTAAAACTTTCTTAATTCACATCCTAACTGGGACAAACTAATTTGATCATTATTGGGACTGCATTATTCAGATTCCCCTAATTATACCTGTTGTGTCATCATCAAGATTCGGCTCTCCTACGTCAATCCTATTCAGTTTCCCAATTCAGCCAAAAGCATCAAAAGTCAACCTTCAAGTGACACGAAATCAAGAAAGGTGAACGAGATAAATTTGAATCGCAATATCAATCTCCAGGCTTGTTGAATTCCATTTTGCAAAGCGTTACTTTCAGTCCGGTGTTTCACGCGGTACTCCGGTAACCAGAGATCAGAAATTCCAATCGATCTGATGACCGAACTTATGCATACCTATAGAAGTGGTGTGTCGCCTTACAAAGGCAATGGTAAGTACTGATGTATAGTCAATTTAACGAAATTTTAAAAAAATTATACAACCGTGTAATTTCGATAGACCAAACAATTTTATAAAGCAGCAAGCCGTAAAAACCAAAGAACAACCGGTCATCATCAATTTGATCGAGGTTTCACTGTTCGGTAACCGAAGGGTTACATCAGTCAATGGACTAAAATTTAGGGGACTCGAATGCACAACCCGAAGTTGCTATATATAAGTCTATAAGATCAAAATACTGAAATTATCCCAAAAAATTTACGCGGCGTAATCAAAAATTTATCCTCTTTTTTTTTTTAATTTGGCTTCGAATATGAATTAAAAAAGAAAAGGAAAAATGAATCATCATCAAGTGGAGGAGAAAATGAGGAGCACGTGGAGGAGAATCCGGAGCGGAGCATGTGCCGCCAATCGAGGGCCACCACCACCGCCACCGCCACCAGTCTGTCAAGAACTTAAACGGGAAAAAACCAAACCCAAAAATATTAATTAATCCTCCAATAACCAAAACGACCACACCTATCCACCCTTTTTTTCGAAAATCCATTTAAAACCCCACATGCAAATCCAAATGGGGGGGTCCGTCACCACCAAAAAAGAAAAAACCAAAATTCACCTCAAATTTACCTAGAATCTTTCCTTTTACGAAACCTTTCCGGTAAAGATGAGAGCGGCTCGAGGGGCCGGTCCAAGTTCTACCTGAAACCTGATCTTCGGAACCTCTCTGAATGGCGCGGCACGGCTCGAGACGGACCTCCCGTCGCACGGCACGTCAGGAGAGTTAATCTAATGATAATTTCGGATATTATGGTCCAAAAAAAGAGGGTCGAAACTAATTTTTGGTGGGATTTTTTTCTTTTTGGGTCATGATTATTTTTTTTGGTGGAATTGAATCAATCAAATGAATCCTGTGGATGATGGTGGAGAGTAAACAAAGTGCAGGTGCAGACGATGGAGATCACATGGGGGTGGGGGCGAAGGGACTCCCATGCGCTTGGGCCCCACCATTTCTGTGCCAACACCTCCGGACAATTGACCGGCTCCACCGGTTTCGTCTCTTTCCCTCCAATTTCTCTTCTTTTTTTTTCTGGCCAATTATATTCCTCTCCAATCACACAACATTTTTTTCCAAAAAAATAATAACGATAAAAATAGTAGGGATAATAAAATATTATACTTTTTGGAGTAAAACTCAGACTCGATGGCAAAAGTTCCAATTTCTAAAGCATCGAACGTTAGATAAGTAATTTGATTATGGAATCATAATGATAACGACAACGCATGTGACGAAGTGTTGGGAGTGTATCATAGTAGAAAAAGAAGAGAAAATGACGAATAGAGTTATTGATTTAGGCTTTTTCACGGCACTCTTGAAAAAATGGCGTCGTGACTTTTATGAAATACATGACTGAGATCGAATATCAGGAATGCTGATGCGGCAATTTCACAGCAGCTTTTAGATCTTGCTTTTGAAAATGTCGTAGTTTAAAATAGGTGCGTGCCACAATTTGTGTCCAATGGCTCTAAGAATGCTTAACATGTGTCCAACATTCTCTTATTTTTATAAAGAATTCTGGGTGTGTTTTGCCGTGTTCAATTACCTCGCCGAAGAAAAAAAAAAAAAAGGAAAAGAAAAAAAAAGGAAAAAATAATACTTTATTAATAATTTTAAAAAAAAATGTGTCCCGTATACGCTCGATCTGTACAACCTCATTGCTAACAACGGCCTTATTAGTGAATGCTCTCGGAGCATTTGTTTAGCATATTTAATTAAAGAAGATTTTGATTTTCAAAACAGTAATTATAGACTCCTACAAGCAAACCGTGCATTGGAAACTGCATAGAATTTTTTTAGGGAAAAAGTCACTGAACATCCTATACTCTACCCACTATGATATATTTAACCTAAATTTTTTTCTGTGACACCAAAAATCTCAAATTTGTACATGTGTGACATTTACCTCCGTGAAAGTTCTATCAATCAGAACCATAAAAAAAATCAGCCTACATGGACGTCATAAAACAAACTGTGGCGCCCATGTAGCTTAAGTGAAATAAAAACAACTCTGTTTTGACTGAAAAATCATCTAACGGGACATTGACGAAAGGTAAATATGACACATAAGTACAAGTTTCGGGTTTTTTACATCACAAGAAAAGGTTTAGAGTAAATGCGTCACAATAACCATAATTTGGAGACTTTGATGTCACATAAAAAACTATTCAAAATAATTATATTGGTGGACATAATTTGAAATTTTTTTTATGACTATTTCCCTTCTTTTTAACAAATGTCTCCGAAATACTCGTTAGAAAATTTTTGCTAATAAATTAGAGGGAAAGAAAGGGGGGGAAACATGACCATGTGTGTGCGCGTGTGTATTGTACACATAATATTTGGTCGTATAAATCTCCAAGCAATCCCTCAAAATCTCCACCATCTTCGTCCCTTTCCTTCTCTCTCTCTCTCTCTGCGTCCCTTTCGACTTTTCTCTCTGGTATTACAGAAAGAATCCTCGCCAAATCTTTCCCCTTCTCTTCCTCTTCTCTCTCTGCGCCGCGCTCGCCAAGGCGTGGGTGTGCGCGCGCGCGCTGTGCCTATATCGCGAGAGGCGCGTCGCAGAGAGAGACACCCGGCAGCCGAGATCTCGCCCGGCATTCTTTGCTCGCGGTTCTCCTTGGCTTTTTTCTTCCGGTTTTTTTTCGCAATCTCCAGATCGAACGAGGGGAGGAATGGAGGTGTACAGGTTCTCGCACGGCGTGTTGGCCGCCATTGCGGCCGTCGTCGTCGCCGTCGTGTTGCCCGCCGCCCAGGCTCAATCCCACGCTCCTGCTCCTGCGCCCACCAGCGACGGTGAGCCTCCCCCTCCCGCTCCCCCTCTCTCGCTCTCTCTGGATCTGAAGTCGAAATGCGCGGCATTGTTGATTCTTTTTCTTGATGTTGCGGTTTTTGGAGATGAATGTATCGTGTTTAGTTTCTCCGGGAAGATGACCCTTCTCTTCTGATGGAAAAATCTGGGGGAAAGTTTTCGATTTGTCCCCCGGCATCTGGAAAATCGTCTTGGATTTTCAACGGGCATTTTGCTCATCCTTTCCAAAATCCAATTTTGAAAGAAGGGTTTTGTTCAGAAGCAAATCTTTCTTCCAGCTTGGCAATCTAACCTGAAACAGTACATTGTTTGATTTGTGTACTATATGACACAAGAAAGAGAAGATCTTGATGCTTTCTGGGCCATTCTTGATTTTTGAGTTTTGATACGTTGAAATTTTTGGAAATGGTGCGAATCAAGCGTTTTAAAAGAAGATTTTTGAAATTTAAATTCCACGGATAATTTTCTCGGTTATATTTGCTCAATTTAATCGTCATAAACCAATAAAGAAATAATACATCACGATCAATTTCCTGCCCATTTTCGAATTCTAGTTCCGTAAGTGAAGGCCGCCCCCTTCAATTATTGATAGCTTTTCAGGGTAACCATTTCAAATATCAAGAAATTCCTTGAGGTTGATGGACCCCTCCTTGATGTACCCGCTTGTCAGGTGACCAATAATGAAGTATTCCTATTTCTGGCCAAATTATGTTAACCGTCTGATTTTTACAAATTTTTCTAGAATTGTCGAGCGATCCATGTTTCAAACATTGCCAAGCTGCCTGATCCATCATCTGATAGATGAGCTTTAGTAAAAATCCTCTATAATGTAGCATTCTCTGCAATTCAAAAGGACTTTCTAGTTTCTAATGGGCAAGAGCAAATCATCTGTGTGCAACATAAATCAAGGGTGGTGAAAACCACTTCATTTCCCTTCTGTTCATGTCATCATGCTTCCTTTGTGATTATTACATGGAAAGATTTGATTAATGTAAAACGGTGGCTGCTGATATTTGTGATATGTGCAATCTCAGGAACATCGATCGACCAAGGAATAGCATATCTGCTCATGTTGGTGGCTCTGGTGCTCACGTACCTCATTCACAATGCAGACATCTCATCCACCTCCTAAGCCTATGGATTGGTGTACTGCGGTTGGTCGTTTGGGTTTTAGTCAGGGGATGCTTAAAATAGATCATTGGTTTGAAAATTTTCTTTTCCTTAAATTCTTGTGTATGAAAGTGGTGTTCTAACTTGACAAATTCTCTGTTGGACCATGAAAGCGTTTGTCAATTCTCTCCGACTTTACTAATGTGATGCATGATGCTTATCTAGAATTTTCCTTTCTCCAACAAGGAAACTCCATAGCCATATCAGCAAAAAGAACTGCAGAGCTATGTCATGGACCAGTGATTCAGTTCTCCTCGAATCTGGCTCAATTTTAACTTCGTTGCCATCATTGAACCAGACTTCTCTTATTGGGCTTTTGGCTCTGCATTCACAATGAGAAGACTCCTGTTCTTAATACGGTGACATCGGTGTGCTATAGTCAAGTGTACTATAATTAGAGTGAAAAGAGGGAATAAGATAGCAGATTTGCATCGGGTGATATTAACAATCAGAATTGAGCCGTGAGTGTAATTCCTAGGCAAGATCCGTAACAAGGAATAACATTCAATGAACTATGTTTTTCCAAATGTTCCACAAAGTGAGTCGATGCTGATCATCACGTTTGTTTCTCCTCCAGCAAAAGAAATGGAACAACATTCAATGGCACAATTGCATCAGATGAAATAACAATCAGAATTGAGCCGTCAGTGTGTAATTCCTTGGCAAGATCCGTAACAAGGAATAACATTCAATGAACTATGTTTTTCCAAATGTTCCGCAAAGTCAGTTGATACTGATCATCGCGTTTGTTTCTCCTCTAGCAAAAGAACTGGAAAGCATGCCCTTGAGGTGGCCGCCTCCCTGGAAAATTGCGTCAAGCTCTCTTTTGACTAGTGCCTGAATCTTGTGACTCTTCGGCCAGCGAGAACTTCTTCACTTTCTGTCATAAGAGGACAGAATAAAGATAAAGAACAGCTCATTTGCGTACAAGGACAGAGGTCAAGGAAAAGATTGTCTTGCAACTTGAACAACTCACATCAATCTCTAAATCTACGAGAAGCATCCACTTTATAGATCAATGTTGTACACAGTTTTTGTACGAGAAGCATCCACTTTATAGAGCTGGAATTAATACTAACATCAGACTTCTCACATCAATGTGTCATCTAAATTAGCTGAAACTGAATGTTGATGACAACGAGATCATGATGGGAGCATGAGACCATAAACGCTTGAGATGGCACATGTACCAGAAGGAATCCAAGAACAACAAATGAGTTTGGCATAATGTCCTGTGGACAGAATAATAAGAAGGAACCGGCAGACATCTAATGAATAGTTAGCATACAAGTAGAAAAGGCAAAAAAATATAAGCTTATTGATATGCGGTCATGACTCATGAATATAATAAGACTGAACCACAATAGGTTCTTCTCTCACCCTTTCCATTTAAACCAAACAAGATATTCAGACTATGTAACTCTTCCCAGGACATACTCAGATGGTTATCTATTTCCTTTTGTACCGGTGACGTGACCAAATAGATTGGTTAGTGCATAACAAATAGAAACAGTCATAGATAAAAGCTAATTGGTTTTTCCCCCTAGAAATCAATGAGCATCCAATATGATGCTGGGACACGGATAATATCCTGTACTGAAGAGCTTTAGATCGCTAGAACGGGAGCTAAACATGAGTAGTGAAAGCTGCGATCTCTTGAAAAGTACTTGACAAAGAACAATGTCAGTCCGTTTGGCCAAGCAACCGGATATTATAGATTAGTCCAGCCTCACTTCCATTTGATTGTGAAGGCAGTAACTTGTAATTCATAAAACCAGGATCAGAGCTAAACAGCTACCTAACTTTCTAAAATCTCAATCAGCATATAGCTGTTGGCAGCGGCAGACGGAGAAACCTCGAGTGCTCAGTGGCTAGCATTACAGTTGCGAACTTCTACCAATTTAAAAGTGGAGTATAATTAAATTTGATAAGAAAAAATGATATTTCCAATTATATTGTCCCGAAACATAAACAAAAGTGCAGACTGCTGCTTGTGAAACTATCATATTAGAAAATGGTCTTATCATTCAATGTTCCAATAAAGCCAAAAGATGATGAGGGTGAGAAACCAAGAAATGGTTCCCGCAGCCAGAAAACAATGATTGCATAGACTGATAACCTAACGTCTGGCTTTGAATGTGTAAACTGAGTACTCAGCAATGTGTTCTACTCTTCCTCCTATTGTAAGTCTGTTGGGCTCACATTGCAATTTGCAACACTAAGAACTCAATATGCATAATGAACAGATACCATTCAAGAATCAACTCTTTTTCCGTATTTTGACATACCCAAGTGCTGCATTTGATGACCATCATCCTACATTTTCAGGGCTCGCTCTCAATCGACCAGATACGAAGACATCCCTCGACGGAAGACTAATTCAGAAGCTCAGAACCGAGGCAAGAGTCACTTCCCCCCTCTTTTATCACTCCACATCACTAATTAAGCAGCGCAGTGACAGTTCCCCAAGTGCAACATAATCAAACCAGCAGGAACCCCAAAGACACCCCACCCCACCCAACAGAAAAAAAAAAAAATCTGATCTTTGATCTAAGAAACGCATAATCACACGTTCCCCTTCAAGGGTGAACTCATTTTCTGAGATTCAGTCAAATCTCCAGCTTTTGACAGCTGAAGCATCCGAACCAAACGCACGCATACTCGAACAAACATGGCCTGGTCACGACTACGAAACAAACGAACCAGAAAAAAAAAAGGGGGGGGGGGGGGGGGAAGAAAAGTAAAAAAAGAGAAAAACCCCATCTAAACCCACAGCCAAATCTGGAGCACAACGCGCGCGAGATCGACGAGACGCAATGCTAACACGTAGACGACCCACGAAGTCGTGAAGGTACTTTACCTTATTGAGGACGCACTCCCGGAGGGAGTTCAAGAGACGCAGGCACTTGTCGTGGTCGTAAGGGGTCTGGGCGACGCAATTCAGCAGATCGAGCGCTTCTTGCCCACACGCGGGCTGCTGCTGACGACCTCCACCTCCACCTCCACCTCCGCTCATTGTTCTTCGCTCGTACGATGGTGATCTTTGCGCCTCAAAAGGGTGTAAAGAATGAACGAGAGTCCTCCTTCTTACCGTTTCGTTAAAGAAGGGAGACAGAGAGACAGAGAGAGAGAGATGAAGAATGGTGCTGTCGGGCGTCAAACCGCGGCCGCGAGTCCTAGGAATTGCGCCAACAGATCGTCCTGGAAGAAAGGTCTGCAACCGAGGAAACGGTGGCTTTTTCGATTCGTGCCAGGGATCGAACCGGATTTCTTGAGCCGCACGAAATTAAAGAAGGACCGGTCGAACCGGTCGGTCCAGTCTATATTGCAAATGGCGGCAGAAAAAAACCCTCCAAGAATTAAATTGAAAATTGAGAGGTTAAGTTATTGCATAAATGATCTTATTTCAATTTTCGGGGTTAGTTCAAAATCTACTACAAACTACCAATACTAGCGACATTAGATGATTACGTGTTCCGAAAACTCGATCATGCATTTAGTGACGCGGATGTTATTTCGACCAAAAAAAATAAACATTGTTATTTGGAGTGATAATTTACTTAGTGGGTGTTGGTATTTCTTCACGTTTTTTTATTGCACGGGGATGATCGATGATTTATCGCGTAAATTAAGTGATTAAATTCCGATAAAAAATATTAGATGATTAAATATTTAGCAAGATGATAAATGGGCGAGCCCATGGCCTCCTCTTGTCGGGCCATACTATGGGCCTTCTCGCAGGCCCACATAGTCATTCACTAGTCCCTTTTCCCCCCTTTCTAGGCCCGGAACAGTTCGGGCACCTCAGGCGTGTGTGATTTCCTTTGATTCTTTTGCGGTCCATACCATTTTGTTTGGGCCGACGGTTCGCCGAGACCGATCCGGCGGGCTCCGGGATAATTTGAGCAGCGATATTTCCTCAACTTCCTCCAGATCACCCTTCTGATCGGTGGGTTATGATTTGCAGGCCTCGCTCACGTATCGAATTAACTAAAAATATAATGGGTGACGTCAATGGTCGTAACCCACCGATCAGAATGGTGGTTGGAGAGAGTTTTTCTCAATCTCGATCGGGGGGGAGGGGGAAACATTGCGCCGATGTGGTATGTTTGTCGCATTCAGGCTGGCAAGGCACATGTTGCCCGGAGTTTTCAATTCCATTCTCTTGAGTAGGAAGATGAAGAGCTTCTCGAGCCTTTAGATGCTAATTGCCCAAGTAGACCTAAGCAGTGTGCACGTCAATCAGCTACGGTGCCACTGTATACACTGTCGGCGAATCAAAGCGTCTCGCCGCGACCGGCCTTAATCCACCACCCGCGTTGTCGGTTCTCTCGAGGTCGAAAACACGGGTTCGTCGTATCGATCGGACGACGCCACGGGGGCAAGGACTTAATTGCATCGCGTGGCGATTGACTCGGGATCAGAACTGCGGATTCTCACGCAGCAGCTCGATCACAAATTCACAAGCAGTGCGTGGGTGGGTGGGTGGACGGGGCGGGGGAGGGGGGCGTGACGTGCCTTCATTCATGATGCGAGCGCATTCCATGAGATATCTCTATCTCCATCATACTTTCTACTTTATCCCAAAAAAAAAATATAAATAAATAAACGCGCAACAATATCTCACATTTAAATTAAATTCTCTCGTTCGATCAGAATAAATAAATAAATAAATTCTCTCGCCATAAAAGTCCCCCCGCCCTTCCTTCTCATTCCTGTCGGCTAGTGTGGATGGTGACGTGGAAGGCCCCCTGGCCGCTCCTCCGCCACACAATTCACGCGACCGGGCCGGGCCGGGCCGTGCCACGTGGGCGCCCCGATGCCGGGACACGCCGTCCCGCCTGCCCGCCACGTCACCGGCAGGGGCCGGCGTGCGCGCGCGCGGAAATGGAAGCGAACGTGATTTTTTTTCCGTGCGAAATATCTCGCGACGTCATCGACCATCGTGTATATTCACGTGACCCTACTGTATTTTCCATCAACTTGCATCTCGTGTTTTTTTGCTCCTCTTAATTTTTGAATTATTAATTTTTATTTCCCCCCACTCTCCTCCTGAGACGACCTCCCTGTCTCCTCCAAGGGGCGTTGTCTCTACCCATAAGCCCCGGCACGGATGGGATGGATTACAGTAATTTTTCGTACCGCAATTATTAAAATATTTAATTATCAAATGACCTTTTCATATAGCCGGTTAAGTTTTTTGACCAGCAAACCGTGGTTCTGCAGATTTTTGCCCTGTATCATAACGCGAGTTCAAATCTTGCAAATCTCTGCCCATAAGCCCACGCATGATGGAGTGTGTTGTGATACTCGAATGTTGAATTATACATTCATCTAATGATTAAATTCTTGAAATGGTCAGCTGTGATCCCACGAACGGCCCCGACCCAGAAATTGAGACGCGTGCAATTCTTCAAATCATTATGAAATTGTGTATTCTAAGAAAAGGAAGGCCATGATGAAAGGATTGTTCCATCAATCAGTAGTCGCGTCTCGGGCCATGATGCGAAGGAGCCCCACCACGGCGTTAAGGATGTCCATGCCCACAAACATTGTTTTAGGGTCACGTTTATTGACTGTATGCACTATAAATTTTGTCCATGTCGCCCCTGCAAGTGGAGGCAAAAGAGAAAAAAATCCCCTTTTGGCTCTTCTTATCCACAGCCACGACATTCATCCTCGAGGGTCTACATCACTCGAGTCTTTCCTTCCCTTTCTCTATCGTTTCACGATCGAAAGCTATAAGATCCAAGAAGCGATCCGATGGTGATTTGTTCGTTTCTCGGGGAAGGAAAGAGATGAAAGAAGAGAGATGGGGGTGACTGTGGCTGACCTGGAGGAACAGGGAGGGCGAAGCAGAAGGGACCACGGGAGGGAAGTCGGATCCTAGACGAGCGCGAGATTCTGGGGGACCACTGCCGGCTCTGTTCTAAACCTTACATATTCTAACATTAGCAGATAAGATCTTCTGGAACTCGGTTCTCCCATTGAATGTAGCAGGAGACTAGAGCAAGTCGGAGATTGCCCGTCAAGGTGCTTCTCGACGAGCAGCACCGCGTCTCTGTCCGTCCGGCTTCCTCAACACGTGGGAAGGTGTCATCGTTCCTTAATTTTTCTTCTAAAATGACCACGATTTTCGAAATGCATGCACTAAAATATTATCTCACATCGCTTGACAAACATGTCTACAAGCTCTCTATAAACACGTGATCTCCATTCATCTGACGACTTAAATTTTTTGATTGAACAATCTAACTTGACATCAGAGCCCGTGCTATCCTGTTCCTATTCCGACTTTGCACGTTTGAGCATAAATCGAATGAAGGTCGCCTCAAAAGCTAAGGCCAGTCTCTCTCTCTCTCTCTTTCTCTCAAAACCTGCACAAAGTATGTCGCACCGATCGTATCGTGGCCAAATCTTTGACGAAAGCGACGCATCAAATGTCCTGGGAGATACCGTTGTGGCGATCTTGTTTGCTTCTGTTTCCGTAAGGTGGGGGTCCAGATGCTAATTACAATGCACGATCCTCGCAAAAGAAAGTTACTTGCACTGAAAAGGACGAATGGACCATAAAGAGCATGTCTAGAAACACAAGTCGTTTTTTTGGGGTTTTTATGACCCCCGGTCCCTTCTTTCTTTCTACATTTACCGCCGTGTCGACGGCTAGGTTTTCTCTTTCACAAATTGATTTCGAGTTCGATTCCTTTTCCTCTCTCTCTTCTTACATTCACGGTTCAAAACTAAATGATCAGATCGGCATCGTCTACCAAACTTGGCGACATACTTGATTTTGGCCGCAGTTTATTTTCGTTGGTGGTTCAATTAGGTATGGCATTTTGGGCTGGCTTTCGGCACCAAAAGACTGATTTTGCTAATGCAGTCAAAGAAAGTCGTCCATGTCGAGAATCGGGTTTTCCTTTAGGGGTTACTTCTTTCTAACTTCATTCCTTATTGATAAGTGCCCAATGGGGATTGAGCCTAGGATTTTTCATGTGCTTGTTGCTCGATCATTCTACCAACCGAAGTAACTCTCCTATTGGACTCTTTCCATTTTCCCTAAACCAAACTCTACGGAGGATTAAGTCATAGGCACGTACCAGTCCAATCCAATTAACATGGCGAAAAAAGCCAGACGTTACCTCGTTCATTCAAGGTCGGCAGCTTTACAACCAAGTAATAAGATGTCCGGCACGCCGTCAATGACAATAAAGGCAAAGTGTGGCTTGATTGGGATTGACAATACTGTGTACATTTAGTCGACTACTAAGATCGAACTAGTCCACATTTGGCTGATCAAACATTGCTCTAGGAAAGGTTCTTTTCTCGCTAACAATGCTTCGCCCCCTAAAATGAAAAGAAACCGCCCCCCCCCCCCCCCCCCCCCTCCCATCATATTGTTTTCACAATGCTCAAAATCCATATCCATATGCCAATCCTCAATTTGATTTGATTAAAGGTTTGAACGAGGAAACTTATCACGAGAAAACCCCGAATCACTCTTTTCAATGCTCCTTTGATATGACGGAGACATCACATCCAAACGGAATTACTGAAATTTGGGGACGTTGCGAATGGGAGCGTGAATTAAGACCTCAGGATCAGCCTGAATCGCCGCGAGAGACTAAGCGCGGGGTGGTGGGAAGCCGGCAGGAGCCACCGGCGCCGACACACGCGGCCCAAAAGAGGCGGCGTCGCTTTTTCAGCGTGAAAGAACATGCGGGGACCACTCCGACGCGGCGGCGTAGTGGGCGATGACGGACTT